GTGCCAAACAAGAGATGTTTCGGGCCGTTTAGAAGGTTTTCTATTAAAAGTAGGGGTTACTATGAGGGTCAAGCAGAGCATCAGTTGGGTTATTAACAGGACTAGTAGGCGTATCATCTAAATCCGGTTGCGTTTCATCTAAATCATCATTTTTCTCATCATTTTCAAAGATAGTTTGATTAAGATAAAGAGCATTCATAACTTCTTCATTTAATTGTTGACCTGGTGCAACATCATGACAAAATTGACTATTGGAAAATTGAAAATAAGGGTTATCACTATCAAGAATAATAGGTGGAGGAGGACGGGTAACATGTCTGGGTCGGGGAGCCGGGGGAAGAGTAGTAGCTTGGCAACTAGATTCACCAATTTTAGATTTTCCCTTACCCTTACCACCAAATATTTTTTTCAAAGAAAAGTCCATATTAATTATAATTATACTAAATAAAACAAACAAAACTATAATATTAAAACTTAAGAGTTGGAACGAGTTTACCGAATTGACGAACAACTTCTTGAAAATTGAATATCGTTGAAGACTTGAATACTTCAATTCACCACCTTCACAATTTTTCACGAAATTGCAATTATAGAAGAAAATTAGACAGAGATTGATGAATTTGTGAGTAAAAATGAAAGAATGAGGGGGTATTTATGGTTGAGAATAGGGAAAAAGTGTAATTATAAAAAGTTTGGGGTTAAAACAAAGTTTGGGGGTCAAATGGCTATTTTTTAAAGTTCCAAACGGCTGAAAATTGAAGGCCAACGGCTAGATTTTAAAAATCTGACCGTTGGCCATTTTAAATTTTTTTTTTTTATATAAAAAATAGCTATTGGGCCCGTTTGGCCCGATTGAACCGGCCCATGCCCGCCTGCCAGTCCCGGACTAAACGGTCCCAGGTTCATGGGCTATTTGGTCAGAATCGGCCCGCTATGGACTTTTGCACCACTAGAGACCCGGCCTATTTGACCCGTTTGGCACGCGGGCCTGGGCCGGTCCCGGGCTAGGCCGGCCAACAATACACCCTTACTCGTAGTAAGCGAATTCGGTGACCCCTTATCCAGTTTCATTGTTTGAGAAAAATGGTGGCAGTGTTCAATGTGTATGCACCGCTACCACTGTCGTCTTCCATTAGAAAAGTATCAAAATATCTTTTTCCTTGTCGCCCAATAATTCACACTCAACATTTCTCTTCTTCTTCTTCTTCTTCGTTATCAATTTGTTATTTCCAAATTGTATCTTGTTATCCTCAGTCTTCTTCCCCAAGGACTCGCTTCAACTTCAATCCCTCTACCAAACTCTTTGTCAGTGGTCAGTTCTTTTTTACCTGTATATTTTTTGTTCCATTTTTACTTTTTTGTTGAAATAATTTCATTTTGTAGGACTCTCATTTCGTACAAGTGAAGAGAGCTTAAAAAATGCCTTCGACGACTTTGGGGAGCTCGTGGAAGGTGAAAATATCCCTTCTTTTCTATTCCAAGTTACCACTCATCATATACTAAATCTTGCTGTTGTACCGTCTGCTTACTTTGCTGTACCTTGCACTGAAATTGCTCTCCTATTCTACTCTGTGCTGACTTTGTTGTACCTTTGCTATGAAATTGCGAGCACTCATATGACAATTGTTGCTGTTGTACTCTCTGCCAACTCAATTGTACCGTACAATGAAGTTGGTAAACGTTAACCACAGTTGAACACACACAATAGAGTAAAAATTGCAGCTAGCATATTAATTTATTAAAATTCCTTAAACATATCTATTTGTAGTGAATTTGGTGATGGACAAAATTGCCAACAGACCAAGAGGATTTGCTTTCCTTCGTTATGCTACGGAGGAGGAATCACATAAAGCAATTGAGGGAATGCATGGGAAGGTAATTCTAGTCTTAAACCAACATTCATCCTTACCTAAATAGAATGTAACTCTGTCATAGACTAGAAGATATTGTTCACTAAAGAATATATTGTCATACAACAACAACAAAAAAAAACCAGTATAATCCCACAAGTGGGGTATGGGGAGACTTTACCCCTACCTTATGAAGGTAGAGAGGCTACTTCCGATAAACCCTCAGCTCAAAAGAATCTATTGGCATATATTGTAAAATCTTTTCTAAGTCGTCAAATGAATCATCTTAAGAAAAACAAAGCTTGTGCGCGTCGGAGTCGGCCCACAGGATGCCCGAATGAAAAACTCGTAAGTAACTAACGTTATTGTCTTGTACCACCTTGTCTTGCTTTGGAAATATAGCAAAGGTTCATTGAAACTAAGTAGTAGTAAATTTATGGAAAGCATTTGATGTTGCACTCTGAATGTGCCACCGAAACTTAAAGGTAAGTTATATAGAGCGCTGGTCAGACCGACTATGTTGTATGAGGCGGAGTGTTAGCCAGTCAAGAACTCTCATGTCCATAAGATAAAGGTGGCTGAGATGAGGATGTTGAGGCGGATAAAGGGCATACCAGGTTAGATAAAACTAGAAATGAAGTTCGGATATGTGAAGGGGAGAGGCATTGATGCTCTGGTGAGGAGGTGTGAGAGGCTGGAATTGGATGGCTAATGAAGAGGTAGAGACACGCCGAAGAACTATTGGGGAGAGGTGATTAGGCAAAAGATGACGTTGCTCCAGCTTATTGAGGACATGATCATGGATAGGAAAGGGTGGAGGTTTTAGAATAAAGGTTAAGGGTTAGGTAGTCGAGTGTTGTCATTGTTTGTAACAGTAGCTTTGATACACCACTTGGTGTTTTTCGTATTTTTTCGTATCCCTAGACTTCTGTTACTACTTGTTGTTGTCTTTGTTTCTGTTTTCTGATTGCACCATTACCTATTGCTAGTTTTGTATTTTCGCTTCGTTTGCCAGATCGGTTTGTTTGTTATTGCCCCTCCCTTTTCCCTTCCTAAGCTGAGGGTCTTCCAGAAATATCCTCCCTGCCTTCTTAAAGGCAGAGGTAAGGTCTGTGTACACTCTACCCTCCCCACACCCCACTTATGAGATTATATTGAGTTGTTGTTGTATTTGATGTTGCACTCTTTTGTCTTTCTTTTGAAATCGAGGTAAGGTTTTAACATCAATTTGACTTTTTACAAAATTAAATCGGGTCAAACAAGGATGGGTATACGGGGAAGCGGCTGGTAAAAAGTGGTGAAGTTTTAATTGAGCCATGTGGCAGTATTAGGAGATAAAATATGTCATTAGAGATTATAATGATTTACCATTTGAACCAAGAGGAAAATTTGGCCCATTTTGGTAGCGGCAGGGTTATATTTGACCCGAACTATTAACTGAGGATAAATCTACACCATTTTGCATAGTTCATGGGACAAATGTGGACCTTTTCCTTATAATTATTCCTATCATTTTTATTGTCAAAGGTAACAAATATTTGTCATAGAACATTCTTTTTATCTCCAAGTTCTCAAACATGGAAAACCCTTCTAAGATAGTGCAACCTTAAAAGAGACTTATGGCCCTCAAACACTCTACAACAAAAACTACTACTATGCCAAAATCCCAAACAAGTTGGTGTCAGTCTCAAACAGTCTACTACTTTGTTCAAGTCCTTTTTGATGCTCTTTCACACACCTGATATTTAGCCTTTGAACAAGGGCATGAATTATGAGACACAAGCTTGGATTAAAACTTGGGAAAATGCATACGTTGCACCTTGAAGTTATCCCAATAAGTCAATTATACACTTAAACTTTGCGGGCGACCTTTTACCTCCTTATTCTTGTTTGAAGTGGAACTATGACCTTCTTAAGTGATGACACGGCAAAAATGTGATTTTCACCCACATCAGGCACGTGAAAACCTATAAATACGCCTAAATGATAAACTTCTCTGGCAACTAGGACCATTTAAAGTATGACAAGTGGAAGATAGGGTCCATTTATTATTTTTCCAACTATTAAAAAGTAACAAAAAAAATAATATGAGAAAAGAGAAAGAAATAAGTTTGACCTCTTCTCCTCCCCCCCCCCCCCCAACCCAAACCTTTCTCTTTGTCAGTTAACGTGGAAGCAGGCACTAATGCTTGCATAAGGGTAGGTTGTCTACATCACACCTCTTGAGGGCACGCCCCTTCCCTAGACCCTACGTGAGTGTGGGATGCCTTGTGCACTGGGCTGCCCTTTCTTCTTTGTTTTTGGACACTTTTCCTCACAAAGTTTGAATCTTTTCTTTTTTGAGCAATGCATCTCTTTTTGCATGTCCCAAAGTTATTATTTATATGGAAAGAGCTGATGGAGCGTAAGATTCATGAGCTGGAAATTTTCATTGAAACTGGGTGTGTGTATTTTTCTTAAAGAAGCTTTCTCTGCGTATTTGAGGAATGTGCTTGATGTATATGATTTTTTATTTTTTTTGGTTTGTATGGTTCAAGATGAAAATCAGCCTAAGATAATTGCCCCCAAATCCTGAAACAGAATAATTGCTTGATTTTCTTCACTAGCTTTATCGAGTGTCCACTGGCCAGAAAATCGAACTCCAGCGACCTTATTTTTTCCCGTGAAGAAGAGCTCCTGAGGCCCTTTAGCTCCTATTCTTTTTGCTGCATTGCTTTCTTTCGTCATCAAACATCATCTCCTCCTCCGTCCCCTTCACCATCTTCCACCTATCGCTGGTGTCCTTCCCTCTTAAACGTTGCCAAACTGCCGTTTGCATTTTACTGAAGCAAGAACTCAAACAAATCAAAGCCAACTGTGTGAGTAATTAACATAGTGATAAACAGATAATTCTTTTTGAAAGTTTTATAGCTTTCAATTGAAATAGAATAAAATAGTAATCCTACATGATTTTCTGAGAAAGTGCAAGAAGAAGAAGAAAAAAATAGTGAAAAAAAATGATATAAGAGAAAATTACGTTTCTGCATGTGTAATACACTGGCCTTTTAAAATCTAGGCATTGCTTTTCAAGGGGGTGTTAGCTCTACTTCAAACAAGAATAGGGGGTAAAAGATTGCCCTCAAAATTTAAGTGTGTACCTGACTTTTTGAGACAACTTCAAGGTGCAACTTATGTATTTTCCCTTACAACTACGGTACATAGTCCCTCCCCCGATCAGTAATTACTTTGAGGTCAATATATGTGCACCTATGAAGTTCTCTTTTTATAGATATGATTGGATGTTATTCCTAGAGAATCATTTTATGTAGGTCTCTACTTTTCGGTATACCCATTGTACACGGTTCAATAAAATTTATTGCTTTATCAAAAAAATATATGTATTACATCTTTTTGGGGTCGAAAATAGTTGTCTAATGGGGGTTACACAGTAAACAAAAAAATAAGGTTGGTGAGTTTATTTGTCAAGTGGATGCCTGACAAGTTCAGACATTAGATATGGATCTTGGTGGGGGTTTAGCGAATTTTCATCTGGCTTCCCGTCATTTATTGTTTGATAGATTGATAAATGAACACTATTAAGTTCTTCAGAATAGATAACAATCCTACGACATTAGCAGATAGAGGTCTTTTTGGCGAGTTTGCTGTCAATGAAATATTCTCTATGTACAAGTTGGAAAATATGGCGTAAAAGTAAAGTTGTGATAAAAGATGGCATGGTTAGGGATTCGTTATTGAAGAGGACTTTTCCTCTGTGTGCGTGGAAGATCAGCTACTGGTCATCGGTGAAGCAAGTCATCTTTATGTCACATGATACTGTATGGCAATTGATTTTCAATAAAATAGCATAAGTGATGTAATAGTTTCTTTTTAGAATAAAAACTAAGTTCTTTATGCACTACACCTGTCTAGGAAAGTATACTACCTAAAGGATATAAAGATATTGAAAGAAGTGAGTTGGCCATGTCATAAGCTCTGGTAACATGTCAATCTTTTTTGTGATAATTTTCGGTAACTTCAGGGGCGGCTCAGAGTCATTGACTTCATTCCATTGCTAGTGATATGTCCAAATTCCAAACTATCAATTAGGACTATTCAACAATTTGAATATATCCTAATGGCAAACGCACTTCTATCCTCATTTGCTATTTGTCATTGTTGCTTCATGGAATTGTTGTTTGTTGAGTATATCCTAACAAATTGCCCTTTTCAGTTTCTGGATGGCAGGGTAATATTTGTTGAAGTCGCCAAGCCTCGATCTGAACTTTGCCGAATAACAGCTAGACAATGATGTAGGCATGCATCCCTAATAATCAAGACTCATCTCCAAGGTCCATAATAACATTTATCAGAATGTGTCACCAATTTCTGCTCAACAAGGAAAATTAATCTGGACTCAAAATTTGGCAGAGCACAGCTTTTCTTAATTATAGTATTATTTGTTTGTATGGATCATAAACTCTGAGAAGACGGCCTCTTCTTGTGGCTTGGAGGAGAAAGCCCTTCCTTTTAGCTAATTCTCAATTTTCCCTACCACTTAGGGTGCGGGTGCTCTCTCTGTATTTCTTCTGTAACGATTTTTTGGTGGACATGGTATTTTTGTGATAAAAGTTTGTGCTAGTCATGTATGTTAATGCATTTTCCGTTATGTCACGGATAGCTCTCTCTCTCTATATATATATATATATATTTATCCTGCGGATGTTGACAAAACCGTTTTTAGCACTGTCTATGATAACTTCGCCATCCTCCAATAACATAATTCTAGTCAAACTTATTCTCCTTCTAAGATACACTCCACCTAATAATAAAGGCAACAGCCAACAGGTATTACTGACAAGTTTGCTCTACATAAGTGCAGTTTCTCGAATACCATACTTCAAAAACTTCTACATAGACATTGGCTGTTTTATTTCTTTTTAAGTAAAAGAACTTGGCATTTCCTTACCAAATTGGTGCGCTATGTCTCAGTTGATATACAGAATTAAGCATGTGGGTTTTTCCAGAGAAAATAAGCTGAGCCAAGATTTCTCCCCACTGCTTAGTTTTAGCTTGTTATGGTTTCGGATGGCATGTTAATACCATCTCAAAGAACAATATTACTAGGGTTATAATACAGGTAGGACTACATGTCTTGAAAGGAAGGATTCTTGGCTATACATTATCTGGTTATGAACTCTACTTTCCACACACCTCAGATCTCATTCCGCTCTGAAGTTTCTATAGAATACTAAATGAATGGTGAAAAGACAAAGGGATGTCTGCAAATGGTCAAGTCTCTTTACCAAGTTGGTGTAAGTCATCATTAGACGACAAGAATTAAAATATCTGCAAGTCTAAACTATTCGACAAGCAGATATCTTGGGTAATAAATCAGACCATTGTGTGTAGGGCTACAAAAGTGCATATTGTTAGTAAAGTGTATTTGTAAACTAATTCTGGAAAAGATAAAATAATATATAAATAGAAAATGTAAACGAGGTAGATGTAGCTAAAAAGGAGGTGTGACAGCTCTGGCGACTCTGCTGGGGATCGAACCTAGAATATCTGGTTCAGGGTTCAAGAATTTGAGCTTGTTAATATGATTTTGCTTGGCTTCACTTATTATTACTGTATTCTGTGAATCTTTTGTGCTAAATGCTATCTGTTTACCGCTTTAATATTGTCTGAATTGTATATAACTGTCTTCTTACGCTACCCCTCTGAGTCTTCTGGAAATGGTGCATACATTCGCGTAGCCCGCTTTTTCTGTAGAAATTATACCAAATAGAACGAGGCTGGGCAAACGACAAGGCTGGTTAGACTTCAGTGCTCCCGGTACGTTGCCCCCTCCTCGGCCCTAGTTGTCCGCTCGGGTACCCAAGTCTAGAACAAAACCCCAGGATTTAAACCTAGAAAAACACACCCTCATGCCGGATCCCTAGTAGGAACGTTTGCTTGCATCATGTGCATTTGACTTAGGGGACTCAACACAGGGGTTGGGTCCGTCTAGGACAGGTGTGCCCGAAATAACAGACCATCCTGATGCATTCTACGTGCTATGCGAACATTTATTTGTTTTGGCATGCATGCTGACTGGCTAGGGAAAATAAAGCAAAAAGAAAAACCAAGAGTGATATAGGGAAGGAAATAAGGCTCGGTTCTAAAAATCCTGGTATTTGAAAAACGTCCTGAAACTCTGCCCAAATTTTTTCAAAAAAGAGTTATTTCAAAAGAATCAAACACCGTGTTCCTTCAAATGTGTCAAAACTGACCGAACTACGCAGGTCTGATTCTCACCGGATATGGGATACGTAGGCAACCTACATAAGGTTCGGCCTTATTTTTGAAAAAAAGAGAAAAAAAAAACAAGAAAAGAGAGTCGGTGGTCGAGTGAATGCAATCTTGATTTTGGTCAAAATAAGCCGATCCAGCTTCGGCAATGTCTTAAACCATTCTTACCGAGATAGCCTCAGAGTATTCTTCAGTTGTCGAAAGGCTATTTTCATAAAATAATGGACAAGTTTGTGAAGGGTCATAAAATAACTCCCCCCTCTGCCTCAAAATTCGTGTGAAATTGGGAAGGGGCCGCATGTGAAAAAACAGTCACTTGGCTAAAGTTGGCATATAGGGGAAGAAATTATGGTTCTTTTCTTCTTTTCTTTTCCCTTTCTTTTTCTTTTCTTCTTCAAAAAACTATTTACAAAAGGGTCCACTCGAGTCAACCCTAACCTTAATCTTTCACAGGAATAAATGAATACCATCGAGGAACCGCCAGAAGTGGTCAGGGAACAGGCTCAGCTACACTTGTGTATGTGGTGGAATGATCTAGAAAAAGATGGTCAGAAATGAGTGAAAAAGCAGTTGGGTGCTCTTATAAACATTTTTGAGATCAAACCACGAGAAGATTTGACCAAGGCTTTGGTAACTTTCTGGGATTCTGTCCACAATGTCTTTCGTTTCTCGGATTTTGAGATCACCCCTACTTTGGAGGAAATAGCCGGGTACATTGAATTCGGACGGGATTTGAGGAAGCAATGACTTATATTTCCAAGGGCTCCATCAGTGCACAAGTTCTTTGACCTCCTAAATATTAGTAAACAGACGAATAAAGAACGTGTGAGCAACGAGTGTTGTGCTTTCCATTTCTTATACTTCAGGTTCGGGCACTCTGCTGGATTTGAAACGCATGAAAAAGGTCTGAGCAACAAACAAGACAAGGGCCTTTGGCAAATTCATCGCCGGTTCGCATTTATTGTGGCATTCTTGGGGATCATGGTTTTTCCAACGAGAAAGGGACGGTGGATATTCGTATGGCTAGAATTGCACAAATCCTTACTACCAAGGAAGATCATACACTTGCCCCGTTGGTGCTAGCGGATATTTATCGAGCATTGACTCTATGCAAAACAGGGGCTCAATTTTTTGAAGGTTGCAGCATCCTTCTGCAAATGTGGTTGATCGAGCACCTTCGCCATCATCCCAGATTCATGAGTTATGGTTCGAGCC